CTAGTTCCATCCACGTCATTGCAAATGGCAAGATCTCATTCCTTTTGATGGCTGCATAATATTCCATTGTGTGTGTGTGTGTGTGTGTGTGTGTGTGTGTGTGTGTGTGTGTGTGTATAAACCACATCTTCTTTATCCATTCAGCTGTCGATGGACATCTTGGCTCATATCTTCTCCATGCTTAAGAAGTTGTTTTCGGTTCCTTTTTTATTCATTTTTTTTAAATCCAAGAGCTTTTCTATATCTATAGATATCAAGTTTTTTTTTCTTTTCCCTTCTATTATGTAAATAGCCTCCTTTATCTTCTTAATTAGGAATGTATTTAACTTCACTTGACAGAAACCTGACCACTATGGCATAAGCATAAGGTGCTCATTTTTCTCATATCTACCATCTTTTTGTGATGAAAGGGTGTACACACACATACACACACACCCTATATCTGTACTTTACCTGCCAATCTGTGCCAGTTTGCTAAATAGAAATGAGGATCTTTCTAGACTTTTCTTCTTCAACCTCCACATCTGATTGATCACCCAGCTCTGATATCTCTTCATTCTGTCCCCTTTTTTTTAATTTTATTATGTTAATCACCATACATTACATCATTAGTTTTTGATGTAGTGTTCCATGAGTCTTTGTTTATGTATAACACCCAGTGTTCCATTCAGTATGTGCCCTCTTTAATACCCATCACCAGGCTAACCCACCCCTCCACCCCCTCCCCTCTAGAACCCTCAGTTTGTTTCTCAGAGTCCATAGTCTCTCATAGTTTGTCTCCCCCTCCGATTTCCCTTTTCCATATCCATAGAACCACTGTATCAGTCGAAGCTGAAATAATTTCTTACAAAAACCATTTGACCTAATTCACTGCTTCATGTTTCTCATATAGCTCATCTTTCACAGATCTGCCAACACAGTCTTTTCCACATGTTATTAAAAATGTTGCTTCTTTATTTAAAATCATTCAGGAGCTCTCTTTCTTTTTTTTTTAAGATTTTTTTTTTTTTTTATTTGACAGAGAGAGAGAGAGAGAGTACAAGCAGGAGGGGCAGCAGGCAGAGGCAGAGGGAGAGGGAGAAGCAGGCTCCCTGCTCAGCAGGGAGCCTGATGTGGGGCTCGATCCCAGGACCCCGAGATCATGACCGAGCCGAAGGCAGACGCTTGACCGTCTGAGCCACCCAGGCGCCCCGGAGCTCTCTTTCACTCTCAGGGCAGAACTCATATTCCTAGACATGGCCTGTAAGGCCCTTCATGGTCTTGCCATTCCCTATCTGACTAGCTTCATATCCTACCACTTTTCTGATGAAACCAAGCTCAAAGCCTGACTTAGGAAAAGCTGTGTTAACATGTGCGAAATGAATAAGCGATAGAGGGAATGACTTCTCTCTATACACTAGGTTGTAGCACAACACACCCATTAAAATCCAAGCGGGCAGGAAGAGTCTACTGACAGATGATTTCTCAATCTCAAGCCATATTAACAGTAACTTTGCTTTCTTTTAACTTTGGGTTATTGCAGCTTTTAGATGAATTGGATGAACGTCCCCAAGTGATTGGAAAGAAAAAGTTAATCCTGCTTTCTGTGCTAATGATTCATTTGTGCTATTAGCATTCCAAGCACTCATACAGAGATATTGTACTGATCCTGTTACCTATTTGCTGCCAGAAACAATGGCTCAATATCAACCAGCCAGTGCTAAAATAGTTGTTTGGAGCACATAGTGTCCTGAGTTCAAAAGGATAATACTAAATAGGGGCGCCTGCTTGGCTCAGTCGGCTGAGGAACCAACTCTTGATTTTGTCTCAGGTCATGATCTCGGGGTTGTGGGATGGAGCCCCAGGTCAGTCTCCATGCTCAGTGGAGTCTGCTTGTCCCTCTCCCTCTGCTCCTCCCCCACTCATGCTCTCCTCTCTCTCTCCCTCTCAAATAAATAAATAAAATCTTTAAAAAAAAAAGATAATACTAAATCATTCCATCCAACATGCAGATTTGTTCTGCCATCTTTGGGGGAGGGGGCACTTAGCTGCTAATTGATTCTGACTACCTAAAATCTTTAGGAGCAGCCTTTTTTTTTTTTTCCCTTCCAAGTTTTTATGGATTATTTCTAAATTTGTGTTATAAAAGCTCTCCATGAAAAGTTCTATTTGCCTGTTTTACAGCTTGGGATTTTGAGGTCTCAGAGTGCAGATATGTAAGCATTAGCAGGTTGCTATTTTAGAGAAAATTTTGATCCGTACTGTCAGGTTCACTGTGGAGAGATGGAGTTGTCTTCCTTCTGAATGCCAATGATTGTTGACTTTACTGCAATACAAAATGTCTCTTGCAACTTACACATTTATTTTATAAATGTAGATTTCTATTTAGACAATAAAATTATATACTTCCATCCTATACTCTTAATATATGCTATTTGAAGTGATTTATTTAAAGGTTTCTAGTTAAATATGTTTCAGTTTTGTGCTACTTGTTTGACATTTTTGAATTGGATTTGAAACTAAAGTCTTAAGTGACTAAATATGGCCATATGGCCAGATAAATTCTGTCAATTCCCAATGGATTTCATCTTTCTTTTCCTTGACTTCTCTTTCTACTTCAGTAAGTAGCACTATTGGACTGCCTATGATTTGAAGACATGTCCTAATAAAAACTTAAATGATAATGTTTCCATTATTAAAAAGGGAAGAAACTAGACAAGAAGTGAAAATGCTTAGAGATTTGTAAGACAACTGTTTGTTTTATATTTCTCTGAGATGGTAAGATTTTTATGGACAGGGATTGTTTCCTAGTGTTATGTAGAGGGGTGCTGAAGTGCAGAGTAAGGAAGATACGTGCAAAGTAACAACGACAAAAATAAAGGGTGGGAAAATGAAAACACAATACTAGAGAAATAAACATAAAATTTAGGTAAAAAAAATTCTGGAACACTAAGAAGACAATTGGAAGTGGCCCTAGAAAATTATATATGACACTAAATAGTTTACAATAATTAAAAATAACAGTGTTTTTTACTTAACAAAGAAAACCAGATTGACAGCTTTTTTATTTAAGAAAAAATAAATCAGAGAGAGAGCTGTCCATACATGAAGTGAAAACAGTCATGGAAGTATTGGGTCCTCGTGAAATGATAGCCTATGTGGGAAAATTTAGGTAACACTGATATGTGAGAGCACAACTTTTTGTTTCTCTCACATTTTTTCTTTTTTTTTTTAGTTTTTATTTTAACTTCAGTTAACGCTAACATTCTTTATGGAGAATTAGAATTAGTTTCCTTTTAGGTGTTTTCCATCGGTCTCAACTTCTAATTCTCCCGCTCAGCCATTGTGATAGATTAAAGTAATCATTTTTACCTCTTTGCTTCTTTCTGTGGAATTCAGTGTTCAGATTTTTTTATGACAGGATTTACATGATTTAGCTCAGTAATTCATTGAAAAATCAATTTAACATTTTCCAAAAGATTGTATAGTGTTAAATAGCTACTTCTCTATTCCAAAATATTTTATTTTATTCAATTACACTGGATTCATAAGGTCTTATCAAGACATAGTTGAGATACGGAGTTATATTTTTTTCTATAACATACTTAAAGCATGCACAACATTCATTTCATTTTACCATTGCTGCTTTTTTTTTTCTTCCTAAGAACGACCCACATTTCTCAGGAGGCCAATTAACCAGGTGGTGCTGGAGGAAGAAGCCGTAGAATTTCGTTGTCAGGTCCAGGGAGATCCTCAACCAAATGTGCGGTGGAAAAAGGATGATGCAGACTTGCCAAGAGGAAGGTAAGAACATCATATGGGTGGAAAATTGTTAGATAACCATTGAATAATTAGAAAAAAAAGACATCCTGATTGTACCACCAAACACTCTTATATCTCAGTGTATTATTTCCAAACACACGATTTTTACATATGCAAGCCACATAGCTGCTGTTTAATATACTGAAGTCCTCCAGGCTTTTAAGGTCACTCTTTCATGGAATCTTCACATAAATGCCAATCCTCCACTCCATCTTCTATCCCCAACTATCAAAGATGCCTGACGTAGCCCCTTCCAGGTCTGCCATTCTGCTCGTGGTGAACTCTTGACTACCTAGCCTAGCTGCCTCCAACTACTCCTCTGTTGTGTGATACTTCCCTGCACACTGGATACTGTCTGCCTTCCTTGGTTGTCCAGAGCATCACTAAGCAAAGGCTGCTGCATGTAGCTGACTCTAAGGTCTGGAGTAAAGCAGAAGTTTTGTGCAACACAAGGCTGAAAAAGCAGCAAATACTTGACATCACTATCCACACAGGGAATTTGTCACTTAGGGACCGTCTGTCACTTTCTCAATCTCGATGTCTTCATGGAGATCTTTTCCTCCATCTCTTTTCTAGTCTTCCTATCACCAACCCCCAAGCCCAGTCAGTCAACTCTTCAGGGAAAGTACAAAAATGCTTTTCATCCTTTTATAAGAATATTTAACTTTTTTGTTGTCTAAATCTTTCCAAGACCTTGCCCTTTGTGACCAAATGAATCATTCAAGTGTTTTTTTTTTCTATATAATGAGTAAGTCTAGCTTTTTCTTAAGATTTTATTTATTTAAGACATACACACAGAGAGAGAGAGAACATGAGCAGGGGGGAGGGACAGAAGCAGGCGCCCCGCTGAGTAGGGAGCCCAACACAGGGCTCTCAATCCCAGGACCCTGGGATCTAAGATTTGTTTTGTCTTCCTCCTAGTCTCACCTTCTGAAACTATACCATCACACCTACTACAGTCATCATCTGCCGAAGATTTCACATCTTGCCTTTTTTGTAATTTTTCTTTAAAAAAAGAAAGAAAGAAATTAGGTTTCATTCAACTGAAATTATACATGCTCTCACAGATATCAGTTGCCTTTTATCTGCTCTCACTAGCAACCACTATGGATGCTTTTCTGAATGTATGCATTCATTTCAAAATCTTGATTTATTTATCCCTAAGCCTCTGATACTATATTTTCTAAAGTTTTATCATCAACAACACTGGCCAGAAATGGACCAAACATTTTAAATAGTCAGTGAGAGGTTCTTTGCAATCTATAGGAATAAAACAAGTGAAACTTTTAATTTGGTTAATTTTTCATCATAATAATAGGCTGTTGCCTTTGTCACTTTGCTGTTAGACATCTAATTTTAAAGGAGTGTTGTTACAGGAGTTTGTGAATGTTAGGTTCCTCAAGCCTTCTCAGTGGAGAAGCAGGTTAAAAAGCAAGAAGAGTTTATGGAGCTGAGTTATTAGTGTCTATCCTCTATGTATAGTCAATAATTTTCCTCAAGTTTGAGAGCACTTAATGTGTAATTTTAAAATGTTGATGTAAGATTGAGAGATGAATTATATAGTAAAATTTGGCCTAGTATAGATGAAGGTTAATTTTCAGTTACTAGGAGTAAATAGCCTTGTCTATTTTTTTAAAGATTCAATTATTTGAGAGACACAGAGAGAGAGAGCAGGAGCAGGGGGAGTGGCAGAGAGAGAAGGAGAAGCAGACTCCCTGCTGAGCAGGGAGCCAGACGCTGGCTCCATCCCAGGATCCCAGGATCATAACCTGACCCGAAGGCAGATGCTTAGCTGACTGAACCACCCAGGTGCCCCAGCCTTGTCCATTTTTTAAAAACAAACAATCAGACTTTTATTTTGGAACATTTTTGGCTTTATAGAAAAATTACAAAGATAGTACAGAGAAATCCCATATACCTGATACTAAGTTTCCCCTGTTGTTAGCATCTTACATTATGATGAAACATTTGCCATTCCTAATGAACAAATGCTAATACATAATGATTAAAGTTTATACATTCTTTTGATTTCACCAGGTTTTCCATTAATGTCTTCCTTCTGCTCCAGGATCCAATCTAGGGTATTTAGTTGGGATATTATAGAATATTGCATTTATTTTTCATGTTTCCCCAGTTTTCTCTATCTTTCCTCAATCTTTCATTGTTTTTCCTCAAAATTTCATTGTTTTTATGATCTTGACAGTCTTAAGAGGTACTGGCCAGGTGGCCTATAGAATGTTCCCCGAACTTGAATTTGTTTCATGTTTTCTCATGATTAGACTGGATTTTGTGGGGTGTTAGGGAAGAAAGCCACAAAGAATGCCCTTTGTCACATGATATCAGAGGTTACATGATATCCATTAGAACATCCCTTATGATCTTGACATTTTTAATCATTAAAAAAGATCCAGTTCACAAATGTTTCAAAAATGGAAAGTTGTACGAGTGTGTTGCATTTTAATGGGTCTATGTCTTTGAATTAAGATAAAATAAACTTAATCAAGCCCAGTTTGATTTCCCAGATTTCTTTAGGTGTTAGATCATAAGCCTGACACCTTTAGTTGCCACAATATTCTCCAATCTTACCAAATTCATTTGCTTCAGACTTCAAATAATAAAAATCAAAGAACAGTATGAATATTACATGTTTAGAATGGATAATAGAAAGGCCTCGAAAGACAAGGTTGAAATTTTGAGAAATCTTACCTCCACTAACTTTCCCTAAAACATTGTCATAGGTTTCTGGCCTCTTTATTTTTCTGTTACTGGCATGATACTACTACAGTGCTTTGTGTGACCAGCTAAATATTTTTGAAGTATTAAGCAAATGGAAATGCTGTGTAAGCTTTAAATTGTATGTTAGAAAGGCTTAAAGTAAGGATCAGTGCAGTATAGAAATTGAGGTCAATATTTTTATCATGATAGAAGCCATGTACTTTTTCTTGAATTCTCAGTCTTTAAATGGTATTTCAAAGAGGCTTATTCATTCTTAGATTTGTATGCATTAACATAAGCTTCACTTATGAATAATGAGGGAGAAATAGACCTCTTTCCTTGGTAAGGAATAACAGTAATGACTTTTAACAAAACATAGCCTAAATCAACAACATTGATTCTATTACGTTATTTAAGTCTCAGACTAGGGAGATAGCCATTGTTCTTGTGAAGCAATTGTGTGACGTGGTGTGGAGGATGACATTTCTTTGGCTTAACATTTAATGCAATTTGAATAAGGTTTGTGTAGTAGTTCATGCTTAACACATTTATAGTAAAGCTTTGTAGGGCAGCTGCATAGCCTGTAATTACTATGTAAGTAATATGTGACTATTTTTCTTTTGGAGACAAGAAAAGCTTTTCAATTCAAGTTTAAATTTATGAAATGCTGTGATAGCTATTTAAACCTTCAACACAGAAGAAGATATCTGTGCCAAACTTTCAGAAACCAGAGATGAATTAAGGGCATATTTTTTTTATCTTTACTGTGAAAATATGTATTTTTTTAGTAGTACTCATATACCTCTTTCTTTGATTTAGCCTTTAAACTCCTGACCTTTCCCAGTAACTATCTTTAATAAAATTAAAATGTACCCTTGGTGAGTTGTATTAAAGACCTTTTTTGATTAGATGAGTGTTTTGGTGAGGTGGGAAAAGTAGCAATTCCTAAGGCTAGCAATGACCCTAATGTCCAACCAGGGAGAAGATGGCTATTTTCCATATAACAAAGGGACAAAATAAGGAGTCTTTACCTTATTACATGGTCCTGTCAAAATGTTAATTGTTTGCTGAAACTTCTGAAGATGCTACTCTTTCAGAATTGAAAGTTTTAGGAAGAAAAAAAATAAGTCACTCCTTTTATTTGTGACTGTGTCAAGTATCAATATCTTTTTTCCAGAGGGTCTCAATATATGTATGCTCAAATAAATGAACATTGACTCATCTATTAGGGGCAAGAATTTTACATACCAATATGAAAATAAAGTGGGTAGTGGGAATAAAATGAGATGAGGGGAAAGAGGGGAAAGATTTTATTGTTTATAATGATTATTTTTTTTAAAACACAGGTTTTGTGTTTTTTTAAGCATAATTTAAATTGTAGAAGATACCTTTTCGGAATCATCTACATTTATTAAGTGCCTACTATATTTATAATGCTCACTGATAGTCTGTTAAAAAAAGTCATTTAAAGCAAGATAATTATACTGTTATTGGTTATTTTTTATGTTAACCAGATTGGGTGATGTGGAAAAGTATTTTCATACAAAACACATTAAAGAAAGTAAGGACTAAAGTAATCTTTTGTTTCTTCCTTGGGTACCACATTTTTTTCTCAGGCAAACCTAGAGCTTTTTGCTAATTAATACTCTTTTTGATGACTAGTGCCTTCAGCACATCTTTCCACAAAGTGTTTCATATGATAAAAGTTGCCAGTATTTATAATATTAAGACGGTGTTTCATCTTATGCTGTGTTCCATCTTACCATAGGGATAGTGCATATTTTTATATCAAAATAAAAATACATATATATATGTAATATATATATGTGTCCTGAAGCTCTGTGGAAAATACCATGTATTAATGTGAAGGAAACAGAATATAATAAATTTATAATGAAACAAAAATTAAATTAAAATACACCAACACTACAATATTCTGTTCAATTGAATAAGAGTGAGAAGAATAAAAATATCCCTTCTCAGAAATTAGTTAAGGAGTAGTGCGATTAATCTAATTGTAATTTCTTATCTGGGCCTGTCAGTACAGATTGTGTTTCAGTTAATTATTGGAAGTCCTTTAAAGAACTGCAAACAGGAGATTTAACATCCTTCATCATTCATATAATTTTGTTTTATCACCATATAGTTAGCTCCGTGATTTTTTTATTTCATTTTTATTTATTTTCTAAACCAACTCTAAAGTGACACTAACTTTCTTAATAAAGATCTAGAGTACAGAACGGAATGTTCATAATAGCTTGTCAGAG